CAAAAGAGAAAATAATTTTTTTTTTTTAAATTTGGCCGACCCTGAAAAACGAGTTTTTCGGAGAGGGCCTGTCGACCCTCAAAGGGTTAATATATTTATAGATGGGGTTGTAAAAGAAGTAAATCTAGGGTGTTCGGGGGGAGGGGTGGGATTAAATTAGGGGGAATCAATTTCAAAATGGGAATTGACACAGTTACTCTTTGCTGATGATACTGTGCTTATGGGAGATTTCTAAAGAAAATTGAAAAGGTTAGTGGATGAGTTTGAGAATGTGTGAAAGGTAGAAAGTTGAAAGTGAACATAGAAAAGAGTAAGGTGATGAGGGTATCAAATGATTTAGATAAAGAAAAATTGGATATCAAATTGGGGAGGAGGAGTATGGAAGAAGTGAATGTTTTCAGATACTTGGGAGTTGACGTGTCGGCGGAGGGAAATTTATGAAGGATGAGGTTAATCATAGAATTGATGAGGGAAAAAAACGTGAGTGGTGCGTTGAGGTATATGTGGAGTCAAAAACGTTTATCTAGGGAAAGGCAAAGAAGGGAATGTATGAAAGTATGTAGTACCAAAACTCTTATATGGATGTGAAGCTTGGGTGGTAAATGCAGCAGCGAGGAGACGGTTGGAGGCAGGGGCCAGATTGTCCTGTCTAAGGGCAATGTGTGGTGTAATATTTATTTAGAAAATTCGGAGTGTGGAAATTAGGAGAAGGTGTGGAGTTAATAAAAGCATTAGTCAGAGGGCAGAAGAGGGGTTGTTGAGGTGGTTTGGTCATTTAGAGAGAATGGATCAAGTAGAATGACATGGAAAGCATATAAATCTATAGGGAAGGAAAGAGGGGTAGGGGTCGTCCTCGAAGGGTTGGAAAGAGGGGGTAAAGGAGGTTTTGTGGGCGAGGGGCTTGGACTCCAGCAAGCGTTTCCTGAGCGTGTTAGATAGGAGTGAATGGAGACAAATGATACTTTTGGGGCCTGACGATTGTTGGAGTGTGAGCAGGGAATATTTAGTGAAGGGATCAGGGGAAACGGTTATTTTCATATAGTCCCGGACTTGGAGTCCTGGAAATGGGAAGTACAATGCCTGCACTTTAAAGGAGTTTGGGTTTGGGATTTGGCAGTTTGGAGGGATATGTTGTGTATCTTTATACGTATATGCTTCTAAACTGTTTATTTTGAGCACCTCTGCAAAAGCAGTAATAATGTGTGAGTGTTGGGGGAAAGTGTTGAATGATGATGAAAGTATTTTCTTTTTGGGGATTTTTTTCTTTTTTGGGTCACCCTGCCTCGGTGGAGACGACCGACTTGTTGAAAAAAAAAAAAAAAAAAAAAATATATATATATATATAAATTTTTTTTTTTTTTTTATTATCACACTGGCGATTCCCACCAAGGCAGGGTGGCCCGAAAAAGAAAAACTTTCACCATCATTACTCCATCACTGTCTTGCCAGAAGGTGCTTTACACTACAGTTTTTTTAAAATGCAACATTAACACCCCTCCTTCAGAGTGCAGGCACTGTACTTCCCATCTCCAGGACT